GAAACCACCTCCAGTGTGATGTCGACTGATCAGCAGCTACACAGTGAGCTCCGTTTCCGCGTCCCGAGGGCAGCGGCGGCATTCGGGAAGCTAGAGTACTGAGTGTGGAACAACCATCATCTTACCGTTGGTAAGAAGTTGATAGTGTACAAATCCATGGTGCTTCCGTTCTTCTATATGGCAGGGAAAGGTGGACGAGGTACCGGCGGGATGTGCGACATCTCGAGCGGTTCCAACAACAGTGCCTCCGACGGATTCTGCGCATCGGTTGGCGCGCCAGAGTTGCGGACACGGTGATGTTGCGGCGAAGTGGAATGCATGCAGGAGATTGCATACTTTTGCTGAGACACTTGAGGTGGCTCGGTCATGTGAGCCGTATGGATTCGACGCGGATACCGAAACAACTCTTATATGGTCGGTTGAGTATTGGGAAGCGGCATGTGGGGAAACCAAAGTTATGTTACCAGGACATGATCAAAGTGAGCCTCTCACGTTCTAATCTTGATTGCAGGTCATGGGAATCGAAAGCAGTTGATCGGCGTGCATGGCGCGATCTGATCACGAAGCAAGTTGCCGAAGTGCAAGAGAAATCCCTCTTGCGTGCGGAGAAAAAGCGGCAATTGCGGAAACGACAGATGGATTGTACTCCATCGACAGCGAGCCCATGGTGCCGTAGCATATGCAGTCGCGAGTGCCTGAGTCAGACAGGCCTAGTGAGCCACGAGCTAGGCCACTTGGGGCAAACACCGAAGCGACGACGAGTCCTGCCGAGAACGAAGGCAGAACCGGCGCAGCGTTTGTAGGTACTCTGCATTCGATTTACCAACCGCGTGCTTGCATGCTAAGTCTCTTTATTTCAGGTGGTGGGTTTGCTACATTGTCCTTATGTTTTTAATATCATATTAATGTCGACCTGAACTATCGTCTATAAATTTGCACATCTCCCTTAAACTACTTAAGTCAACTTCGATAACATTTTCGCGTTGTGGCGTTTTAGAAACTATATCTCCTGACGTCTCGAACTTATCGCGGAGTTGTTCGTAACCAATTGGTTTCATATGCTGGTTTAATAAAGAGTTATGTCACCGTATCTGTATGCATTATTCGATTTATTTCACCTGATATCGTCGTCTCTATTGATCGGCTGTAGCTTGATATCCCCAGTGTGGCTGCGCTTGATGTGCATGTTGACAAGGTGCCTACCTGTCTATTACCCACCACCTCGTTCATACTGGCTCCAGGAGACAGTTGGTCGTTGATGGAGGGGACAGGGTGCACGGTACTTGTGGCCGTGCTAGACTCAAAGAGTGGTTCCATGCACTCAATGTGGAGTTGACCACGGTCCAACCACCGCCTTGTGTGCGCTTGATTCCCAAATACAGCGTGCTTGTGTTTGCCTGTGAAGGAGTGTGGGCCGGCTCCGTTGATGAAACGTGGCTCCCATCCACATGCCTCCCGGTCTTATCCCTTCGGGTTTACACTGGATATGGGGTGTGTGGATGGAGCTATGGGTGGTGCAGCGTAAGCCGCCCATGGTCCATCTGTAGGTACAGGCGCCCTGTGGCTAGCCACAGTGACAAGCAAATCCGAAACCGGACGCCGCCAACCGTGTCGGTTGGCATGTAACCATGGCACACAGAGCGAATAGGTGGTAAGAGAGTCAAGAGTTAAATCGCGTTATCCATCTTGTGAATTACTTAACACCTATGTCGTGAGGCATGTAACCTTGGGGCATAGAGTGTGGGGTAAGCAAATAGTGGTTGGTGGGAATCCAGAGTTAGATCGCGTCCTACTCCATGTTGTGGATTGTGTGGTAAATTTACCACCAGCATCCTTTGCTGGTGCTCAACTTTCTCATGTCTTATTTGCTTTTCCCAGCTGTGAATGTTCTCTATCCTGGTTGGTTTTGGAAGTCGTGTGGTATCTAAACACAGTGCTTCAAATGCAGGGAATCTCATATCTGCTCTTTATGTTCACACTACTGGATTGGGTGGAAGTAGTTCACGAAGTCGATGCAACACCGCCTCACACATTAATGATAGTTCGCAAGCACAAGTGATCCAATGTGGCCCATATTTAAGGACAGCGACCAGGTCCATGGTTCTGGCAGTGGAATTGATTGCTATCATAGTAGTGTAAAGCCTGAAGCGTAACAAGTGTGCTTACACATGTTACAAGCAAAAGAATTTGCGAAAACCCACACGTGTCTTAGCAACGCGTATAGCAAGTTCGCTGATGATGCCGCACCCGAAACGATAAGAGTGGCACAGTAAGTAAACCGATCGATCTCTTCAAGCAGTAGTTCGGTATTGGTGACAACAGGTGTTGACCCCGGTGCAAAGGTGGCCACAACATGCAAAAGGGTGCAGCGCCAATTCTCGGCCTATACGGCGGTGTGTCTTCAACAAGGATAGAACTTGGAAAGTCAATTTGAAGTACACGTTCTGTGGATGGATTGCGACGCGCAATCTCAAAGTGGACCGCGATTCCCATTGAAGTGAACCTTTGCCATTCGATCACTAGGACCGTAGCTGATGAAGCAGCAGCAAATTGGGTGTTGCCCGCCTGAAATCACTGCACTCCATGACGCGTTTCGAGGTGATTTCCTCTCATCAGATAGAGATAGCAGGCATCGAACCCGGGACCATTAGGATGTTCGTTGTGACCGCTACCCCTAAGATTAGAACTTTTGTATACATGTACATCAAGAACAATATCCCGACGCCGTGGTAACGGGCGCCGGAAAGATACTGGAGCATTTCGTAAGGAGATGGGTCTCGTGTAGCCCTATGAGAATCAAAAGAGACAGAATCCAAACGCAAGTCCGCCGTTACATATGAAACGCAGAGTTCTGAATACCGCACGAATAATTGAAGCGGTAGTTAGCCGCAATAGCGTTTAACCGATTATTTCTCATTGTATCGCTTATGTAGTTGACCTGTGTTAATTTGTCCACACCGTTCATCCTTTGCGTTAAGTTCAACCCACGGCTACCCTGTCTAGGGCCACGTTGTACTCAGCTCATGCTATCCCAGGAGTGTCTAAACTTTTTGCAAGGAGAGCCACATTTAGTGAGATAAAAAGATATCGGGCCACATTCAGTCGAACATTAAGATAATAACGAAAAGTACATATGTGCAAAAAATCCAAGCCTGAATTTTTTATTTCATGATGAGGCCACGGGCCAGTTGAAATGTTAACGCGGGCCGGACTTTGGACGTCCCTGATCTAGCCCGTTCGATTACGGTCAGTTCGCAAGAATGGCGCTTGATTCCACTGGTCTTGCGTGACACTCGTCCGCTCGGTCGACCAGCAGACACTGTGTCGCCAGCCTCGGTTTGTTTGTGCGCAGTGCTGTTCGCTCGTCGCTGTTCGAACCACTGCGCTCCCCTGTTACGTAACTAAACCGCGCTCCGTTCGTACTACAGAGCAAAGTGTTATGGTGATCACCTGTCTATGGCGACCAACCAAAAACATTCCCAACGTTTTCTCCTATGAGTAATGTATCTATTCATGAACCTGTCTGTGGCGACCACCGGCCCAAAGCGACCACTTTTGCCGGTCACCTTGAGTGGTCCTCTTAGCTAGGTTTGACTGCAGGTCCAACCAATCCTGTCCTGTCACTCAGGCCTGTACGATTGTGGTTATCTGGTTTGATTGCCCTCGCATCCATCACGTTCACATAAATAACCAGCTATAAGCCCAATGAGTGATGCGAGATTGGGGCTTTCGGTTTACCGACAGGAGGCAACTGGATTGTAGTCTGTCCCTTGTAGAACCATCAACGGTCCGTTAAGGTCAAAAAAATGATGCATCACGTTTGTACAAGCAACGATCTTTCACGTAAAGTCTTCTGCACTCCAATAGTAAAGAATCAATAAATTAGTCCAGCCGAAGCACCAGTTAAAATGAAGAGAACAGGAAAATAACGCAACCGAAACTTGGATAGAGTAGCAAATGGAAAGGTGGCAAAACCGCTGCGAATCGACAACTTGAAAGTCACCGAAAACAAGCTTGTTTGCATAGTTGGATTTTGAATTTAATGTCTGCCCCGGGAGTATTTTCTCAGTTGAAACAACAGCGTAAACAGGTAATCGGACTAGAGGAGGATAGCGTACACAGTGGGTAGAGTGGATCCCAAGCGGGAAGGCAAGACGGATCAAAAACAATCAGTCGAATGGATAGTTCTCGCGGCAATGTCAGGGGCTGCCTCCTTCTAATTATATGTAGTCCTACACCGGGTAGACACAACCCATACTCTAACGAACGTGCAACTTATAGAATGACGTGTGTTGATTCAACAAAGTGACTTGATTACTGCCGCTTAGTACCTGACTGTGGGGACGCTGATGCCACCGGTTGTAGCGCAGTAAGAGTGACAGATACATATGCAACTCTGGCCCATATAGCGTACACGCAACGGACGGAAAGAGAAAACTTCGTATGGAACGCGCATAGGAACGGTGTATTCGGAGAAGCGGTCACCCATAGCAGGAGGTTATCATGTAGATTCATACTATCATTAGACAATCTACCAATCACTGATCAGGTGTGGAGCGCAGTATGCGTGCGCGACTCGAGAGGGGAGGGAAACCGGCGGTGATACACAGGCAACCTAAGCTGCACCAGCAATGATGAGTAGGTGACGATAGTCGGAGACATGAAGGTGTAGACCCCCAACAGTCTCACTCGCACAGAGAGGAACGATGGTTTTGTAAATGGAAGCGCTGAGAATAAGTGAAAGTTGGCGGTTACGACCTAATGTTAAAGTCAAACATTGCGAATATGATACAAATGCAACATAAATCTAACTTGGAAAAAAGCAGAGAAATGGCTGTCTAAGAATTTATCACTCCGTAAATTGGAAGTGAAGAGGTGGTGAACGGGACTAGCCAAAGATTATGCCCAAAGGTATCTACAAACCGACAGCATAAATGAGTATCAAAGAAGAGGAAATAGAAACAAGCATATACATACGCGGTGTAACATAACGAACTAACCGACCAAGCTGTAGGTAGACCAGAGCAGCCAACCAATCCGATTTGTCAGTCTGAGAGGAGAAGACGAAGATCACACGTTGTGTGCGTGCGGAGGACAATGCGCCTAACACGGCAGCGCTTGCGGCGGCCACAGCAGCTCCTGCGGTGGGTACCAACGGAGCGAAGGTGGATACAGCGGCCGAATCGGCCGAATCTGTGGTGGCGGTGGTGGTAGCAACTCCGGTGCTCACAGAGGACCCGTCCACTAAGGTATTCGTGCTGGTTAGGGTGGATATGGAGAGCACACTGCCGAGCTGCGAGCAGCTCGTGTTGGTGGTGGTGATGGATGTAGGTAACGTGGATAATGCAATAGATGCTGGGGGAACGTTGCGGGCATTGGCCGGAGGGGGAAGCTGATCGGAGCCAATTGAAACGATGGACTTGGAGAGTAAGTCGGGAGCAAGAGAACCACGTCGCGGGAATTCCCAATACTCCAACTCGAAGGTAAAAAATACATCTGAGAACACACAAAGAGAAAGAGAAGGAAAATGAGTTAAATGACATTTGAACCGGAAGTAGTTGCTGTTTGAAGATTGGAAGCGAAATCGCTGAAAGCTTCAGATATGCATCCAAAAAGGTATCTTTGATAGTATCCGTAAGTGAAATCTAAGTGAAGGCAAGTACGGTGAGTGAAACGTGTAGGCTGGGAGGTGAAGCCCATCTGTGAGAACTTCAACCCCTACTAAGACGTCTGGCATTTAGTTGGCGCATATGGAACAGTGGACAGCTAAGTTTAAGGTTACATCTAAATTCGGAGTTCGAAATACCCTCCAGTCTGTCCGCTGTCCTACCGTTGTCGGTACGGATTCTCTCAATCCCGTGCTATTCAAGGGTGGTGGTGAGGTTATCTGCAGAGAACTCGCTCATTCGTTCAAACAAATAGGAAAGGACGGAAACAAATCCAACAAATGACAGTGTTCAAGACGGGTAGCCACAACGGACGTGTTAGGCAGAGACGTATTACAGTTCTAGATTAGCCTAGAGGTAAGTCGGCCGTAGCCTGGAGGTAACGAGCTTGTCTCGCAATCTTGCGGCACGGGTTCGAATTCGCGTAGGAGTGAGCATTCTCACGGTATACTCAGCCCTCGTGCGACTGGTGGTGGTCGAACGGCAGCGAAGCGCTGTTACGGTGCACAGCTGACACAATCTCATTGTCGAATGAGAATACCGGATGAGGGAAACACGTAAGACTATGACTGGGACAAGACGGCTAAGATCTACTTTTCACTCTGCTGCAAGCGCATAGCAAGGACGCATGTACCGCAAGATGTGCTTCGCTTGTAAGCGCTTAATCCAGAAGAAAATAGGTCATGTATTGCAGAAGTTCGAAGTGTCTCTATAGACCTACCACACCATTGCTGTCGGCCTTGTACATAGCCTAACAAAGAGGGCTTCGAACCTAAAACAATGGGACTTGGCTCCTTCGATTTGAGGAGTTCAGGTGCGGTTAAATCATAATGTCATTTAAATGTACCACTACTGTCGCTTGCGCCAGTGTCCGATACGGTGACGAGGAAGTCAGTTGCGTTAACAGCGGCGGGTGCTATGAGTGTAATCTGAGTGTCTCCTTAGAAAAGTGTTATATTAAGGTATTCATCCCAGTAGTTCATAAGGTACATTGCACAGTCGTCGAGAAAAGCACCAGACGCGGTTCACCCTATTAGGGCTCGTCAGTGGTGTGGAATCCCTCGGCCCTACTGGGGATCGAACCCATGACCGTTAGACAGATGCCAACTAGCCAGCAGCTTAAGCCACTGAGCCATGGGGGGCGTTGGCTGGGTTACATAATTTGCCAACTAACTGGGATAGAGCACGACCTATATTCCACTGTCACTGACAGTGGCTATCCAGCGAGGTGATGATATCCCCTCGCAAGACGCTATATTCATAGTATTTGAAACTAGGAGAGGCTATTTGTTCTATATTACTCGTAAGTAGCGGGAGTTTAATTGTAAGTTTAAGGTACTCAACCCAGTAGTTCACAAGCTACATAACACTGCATAGACCGGAAAAGCACCAGACGCGTTTCGCCCTATTGTGGCTCGTCAGTGGTGTGCATTCCCTCGATGCCCTGTCGGGGGTCGAACCCATGATCGCTAGAGGCAGATGCCAACTAGTCGGCACCTTTAGTCACTGAGCCACGGGGAACGTAGCCTGGGCGTTATGTTGTTGGGCGTTATGATGTTGGCTATAGAAAGCTACAAGGAGGTGGTCACTGACCAGGCAGAGATGCGAAAACGTCGTTTAATATGTTGGGTGCTGTTGAACCCTTTCCTTACTAAGGGGATCTAGCTGGCCCTCGGCTAAAGACATTGCAAGACATAACAGACCACAGACACTACTGGCGTGTTTGCTGCAGTCTCCTAGCTGGAATACCTGCTTAAAGCGTCAGTGTGTTGGATCTTCTCCTGTCTGTAATTCAGAATGAAATGATCACGTCTTCCGCGAGGTCAAAATCCCAAGTCAACGATTACGATCCAAAGGCGCTCTAACGGAGCAATTAGTGAAGCGACGCAAATAGCCACAAAATGAACGTATATTAGCTGCTAAATTTAAGGGCGATTAGCATTCTGTAGCAAATACACTGGCTGCAAAAAATAGTAGCATAGAAATGATCCGACCAAGGTAAATGCAGTGTCGTGAGGCGGAGTGGAATTTTCCGAAACGGTTCGTAGGCCACAACTCGTCACGAGGATTTGACGAAGTGACTATCGTCAACACACGGGAAACATGGTCTTGGAGTAAATGGAAGCGAACTGGCTCGACAGTAGAGAACGATAACTTTCACTAACAGTTTCGAACGAAAACAGTACATAATGATCAGACTAGGCTCACTGGATCATGTCTCGCGCGGTCGGGGCATATATCATTTCCAATAAGTAGGATTTTCGGTGAAGCCTGATCGAATTCTCATCAGCAGCTCAAAAGGCAGATAGCTCAATTAATAAAACTCCTTCAAAAATTCTTCCTACTTACTTACTCAATAAAAATTCACCTTAACAGCCTCCGAACGCTATGGGTGCATTGCTTCTGTTATTGGAAGTTGTGGCCTCATGGGAGCTTGCCACCATTCTCTGCAGTTGTGGTAACCTGCATGGCAGTATTGATCGCGCAACAGTCCAGTCAGCTTGCGAGCCACTACGGTTTGTTGCCGTCCTCCTGGCTCAGTGGTATAAGCTGTTGGCTAGTAGAGCAAGCTGGCTGCTGGTGGTCATGGCTTCGACCCTGATGGAGCCAAGGAATGCGCATCACTAATGAGCCCATTAAGACGAAACGGTTGTCCGGTGCCTTCTTGGATTGGTGTTTAGACAATCTGGTTTGTGAGGTACCAGGATGAATTCAATAACAAGTGGAAATAATGATGCGAAACGTTACCTTACTGAGAAGTGGGTTTTCCTGGGAGGTTTTACTTCCTCTAGGACAATGTGACGAGAGTGATGAACAGAAACCGTCTTGCCGATGCACGACGCAGGGATGCTTACAAGAAGTCGGAGCGAAGAGAATGTGCGTTCCTTTAGGGCCTTTGAGCTTAATATTAGACCCCTAAACTTCAGTCTACTTATAATTCGTTGTTGGAGCATTATGGAAGTATAGAATCGACGCATCCATACAAAGATGTAGATGAGGATATGGTGTTGTTGACAATGCCTAGGTGGAACGCAGACGATACACGATAAAAAAATGTCAACACAATATGTCAAAGCCCACGGAATACGGGACCCACCGTTGTTATCGGAGATTTCAGTGCCTGAATCGATCAGATGGAATTGCTCCAACGGAATGCGTTTTTTCACCTTTAGGCCGGAATGTGCGCTTGATCCAACAGAGCCGACCACGGTGCCAAGCACGCGGCGTTGCTTTTTGCACAACAGTAGCCAATTGTTGAACAGATAAGCAATTCGATCAGAACGTTTAAAACGGCTTCCTTCGCTCCGGATTTGAACGAAACCATCTGGTTAGGACAAAAAGAAAGCAGAGAACAAAATTGTTATACCGAAGTATTTTGATAAACAACAGCTGCGGAGAGAATGGTCATAGACTGATTGGTACCATGAATCCCGAGAAAAGTAACCCCAAAAGCGAGCGACGAAGCCCCAGGAAAGTTTAACGAGGGAATGAGCCGCGAACCCCTGGAATATGACCGGCCATAAGCAAGTACTTCAACTGAGCAAAACAAAGCGAACACGAAGTTGTGCACCCTCGAATCGATAGGACTATTAATCGCGATCGTATAGCGTTTGGGTAGGGTCAGACAAAGTTCCACACTGAAGCCTGCTTGACTGTTGTGTGGGTATCAAGCAAGCGTGGTTCTGAGGGATCATTTCTTTTAATCAAATGTGTCACATCAGCCTGTGGTGGATATATCCCAGGTGACAGGTGTCCAGATCCTGATCAAAGTTACCACAGAGGTGTACTATGCAGAACATAATAATGACAAGTCAAATGCATCAGCGGTACGTCGGTACAGTGCACCGCTAAGGGATACTGTGAGGGTCATTCTGCCCCTATGCAAGCTCGAACCCGCGCAGTCAGCTTACAAGCTTGTTACTTTTGGGTTATGATAATAGAAACAACGTTTTGGCGATTTTCAAGAGATTTGCTTATATACGCATGATCGATTAATCACATGCCCTGACAGTCGACCCATTACTAGACGATGAAAAATAATTGCGAACAATAGGAGTGATATAAAGAGTAAAAAACTGGACAAGAATGTGTATAGTAAACGATGGAAACACACTCGGGTTTCTTTAATGGACCAATTAAAACGAACTCAGAGTCGAGTAAGAAGAAGCACAGCCTGCGCACTCCGTATTTATGCCCCCTCGCTATATTGCAACTATGTAGTAATTTTCACTAGTTTCCTTGAGAGAAAAGACGGACAGTTTAGTCAATTACGAAATTTGTTACGATGCCTGCTGCAGGTGTGCTACACTAGGGGGACTTTTAAAGGGAGCACATGACATTCTCGTGTCCGTTTTCGGGTATTTCTTAGACGAACGACAAGAACGTTCGTGTTATGTGGACTACACTACACGGTGAAACATTATCATCATTATATTTATTAGCTAGAGATGGAAAACACATCATGCTAGCAAATGAAATCAGAATCGGAGGGGGAGGCTAAGAGTGATGGGTGGGACAAAGAAACTTACAACATAAACGCCACTGAGGTTGGCTCCCAGCCATGTCAGCAAGTGTATCCAGCCAAATGTGTTCATCGTCTTTCGGACCCCAACCAGGGAGCCCAGATGCTCCAACCGAGGCCAGTTTCGAGGTGAGGGCTCTCATTCCTCTCGACCGTCATCGCTTAGCCATATGTCCTCTTCTTCCATCCACACTCTCGGCAAGCAGACAACGTACGTCGAAGGAGCCGGTGCGCTGGCATGCTTAATACGTGGCCGAGCCATCGGACTCTAGTGCGTAAACGGTGCTGAGCGATTTATTTCTTTTTCCTATGCCGTAAACAAGGCGTCGAACACGCTCGATGCTCACGCGGTGTTCCCACCAGATGTGAGCCAAACTGCGAAGGCACCGGTGGTCGAACGTTACTAACCTCTTTACGTTTGCCGATCTAATTGGCCAACATTCGCAAACGTACAGTAGAGTGGAACGTAAAACTGCATTGTAAACACTACCCGTCAGGATGAGAATGATGTCGCGCCGGCGCCATAGGTGGCGAAGATTAGCAAAGGCGCTTCGAGTTTTTGCTATACGGTTTGTGATCTCGTCTTCGATTAGACAGGCGCGGATACAAGTGCCAAGGTAGTTGGACTTTTGTACGACTTCTAGCCGAGCCCCACCAAAGGTCAGCGCAGGGGTGAGTCCCTGTCAATCTTGGAGGAAAGCTTTGCACTTCAATTCAAAGCGCAAAACGGCTGACAGCCAGTGCTAATCTGTCTAGTGCTACTTCGCAGGTTTGTGAACGGTCACATATGAGGGGAATATCGTCAGTATACTCCAAAACAAGAAGTCGTTCACTTTCTAAGTCATGTCCTGTAAACGTAATCTCCATGACTTCGGCAATAGCGAATAAACAAACGCTGCTTTTATGAAAATACAGCAAGAGCCCACTAACCGCAGAGGTTGGTAGGCTTACATCTACGTTCCTGACCGAAACAGCTTCGGGTCGCCTAATGGACAGCCGCAGTGTCCGATCATATCCCTCTTCACCGAAATGTCCAAAGAAACGCGGCTCAGGCAAGCGTGAAGAGATGAGCACATAAAATGAACCGGAGCTATTTGTTGTATATACAACACATTCCTGAAAGAGCGGACGAAGGCGTTGGAAAACGAAGCGACGCGAAGTACAAGCGTTGCAGGGATCCTACCTATAGTTGGTGGCTATTTGTGGACCTGTTAGCGCTCTTGGAGTCTCCAGGTAGGAATAACCGGTCTCTGCGATTCGTCCAGCCGCTTGACGAAGATGGTTTAACCACAAGATATCGATCCGTTCCTGATGTCCTTATGTACTGGTTATCATTCAAGATCTGGCCGTCGACAGAGTGACTGCTCTCATCGGTTTAATGCGATATGGCGAACAAAGCAGAGCAATGCAACTTTGTGTGATGACTACCTATTGTAGCGCACTCTCTTAGTCAAAACAACCATTCGGCTCTTGTGAACTGTGTTCTGCGCACACAAGTAGCTGATTGAATTCGGAAAGACGGAGCACAAGTGAGTTAGTCGGCCAACAGTTCTTCCGTATTATACCAAAACTAATACGGACACCGCGACCTGGAAACAGTGTCAACTCATAGCGTCATCATCAATAACGAACTATTCCACGGTAACATGAGAGGAAAAGTGGAATCATGGATTTCCACAATACTACATGGCCAGTTCACGACTGTGTTTCGCTTCGGTCTGGCCATACTGTCTCGCCGCCTCCATATCACTGACAACAGCAATGCAATTCTTTTGCGCAGGTGCCTCCATACCATACACAACCATTCATTGAACGATTATCGTAAAAATAAGAAAAAAATGAGGGGCGAAGCGTTGCACACATTGAAGGATGAACAAGCTGAGCAAACACAAAGGATAAGAGATGACTGCGAAACCGAGTCACGGTGGATCCCGTTACTATGACAACAGTCGCCAAAATATGATGGTGGGGAAAGTTAGATGGAATACGCTGAAAACTGAGCTAGGATAAAGATAGATAAGATTAACAAACTTGGTATGTCAACAGTAAGAAGTAAAAAACCGAATGCAGGAGCCCCAGGAGCCAGCGTGCAGGCATACAACCTATAAGTTGGCCGAATCCGAGGCTTACAATCGCGAGACCTGTACGGAACACTCAATCACGTTAATGACAATCAACCTAGCAGTTTTAACGAAGCAGTATACGAAGCACGGAGAGAAAGTCGGTAACGAGATATGGAGATGGCGCAGCCATAGCAAACGGTTCAAGTTTGGTAGACACTCCAGTGAAGCAAGAGAAAATTTCTATCAAAATACCAAAATTGGTGGATTCCGATGTTACAAGTCCACGGCTCCCACTAGAGGTAAGCAGCACATCACAAACACTGAAGGTCAAATACGACTGGCTTCCCAACTTCAACAGTACAAAGCAGACATGTTTTTAATCCATAGAACACCACCTGCTCTTGACTGAATCGTCGATATTTCCCCATTTTCAGAAAGGATTACGACTTTGAATAGTGGTGAGATCTGGAGGTGACACAACGTGTTGAAACGTGCAACATTTTGTATCCGTCAATCGGGATTCGTTAATACAGAGGGTAGGTCCAAACGAGGGAGAGCTGCGTTATCGGCATACTTCATCTTTGCCAGCAGTGTGTCTTGTAACTCACAAGTTACGCTTTTTTAGGCATCGGATAAAAAGATCCTAATGTGAAGAAGAGGCCTTAAGAACGGTTGCTGGGACATTTTTACATACCCTACCGCATATGCAGCGGATATTTAGAGAAATGTTTGACCACAGCTTGGATTGGGTCATCGACAAGGTCATTGGTGCTGCCAAACTCTGTCGGTTTGTTGAGAAAAACTTGAGATAGTGCTTGTAGGTCGTGTTTTGTTGTTGTTGGTGTGGTGGTGGTGTTGGTGGTGGTGGTGGTGGTGGTGAACAGCAGACACATCACAAACTGGTTATCGGGTTGGAAAACGATAACAAGCAAGCCACCGCTGCTGGTACCAAATGGCGGATCGCCTTAACCCCAGTCCGAAAGGCCAAAGGTGCTAATCCAACGATTAAAGGAATCAATTCTTGAGTTGCCACACCGACGACTATCCTTCTCGGACCTAGTGCATTGATGAAAGTTGGAAGCCAAACAGGGTCCTTTTGGCAAGCGGTTTGTGTAACATGTGTCCTATGCGTTAATCTAACCAACTAATGGCACTGACTCATAAGGAACCCTAATGAGTGGGGGGAATTTGATGCGATTGGATCGAGTTCAGTGCAGGTCAGAAGGTCTTCCATGCAATCAGAAAAGAACCAGACTGTTTTCTTCTACTGGGGCTCGTTAGTGTGGCGCATTCCCCGAACCCATGACCAGTGGCGGTTTGCGCCACTAGCCAACAGTTCATGGCACCAGGCCACCGGTGACGGCAAAAGCCGTCACGGCACAGTAGGGTAAGGGCGTTATAACGCGATGTATCCCCCACTGGCATACAGGTTAACAACTTTGCAGAAGACAGCACTGACCCCTTACAGTACCAACATCCCACAACGGTGGCTATGTACGATATGGCATTTAAAAGCTGTTAGGGCAAATGCTTTGATTACTCATAAGTAGCAGGGCAAGCCGCAGGTCTCAAGAGGTCATGGACTCGGTTCACAGAGGAGCCGGGGTTGCGGACCACTGACGAGTCCCAATAGGACAAAACCGACGAAAGCAGTGCGATTCTTACATTCAGATTAGAATCTGCATCATTCGGTATCAGGTGAGCTGGATCAGTAACCACAAAGCGACAACTTGGCTAAGGGTGCGTAAAGAAACTCAGTGGACCGTTGAATAGGAGGAGGAGCTGCATGCACTTGCCAAGAATGTACTCGGACACGGAGATAGACCGTTCGGAAGAGTGCTGGATGCGACGCACGGATTGCACAAGCTCTTCCAAATTGCCACGGGCCTCCGGTGAGAGAACGCACCCAGTCAATGGGGTTTTGAGGAAATTGACCAGACGAGGGGCAGTGGTCTTGATCCAATCCTGAGTGGACATGCTGTTTTGAATGGAAAGACGGGTTTTGGATAGCATCGAAAGTACGTCCTTCAACAAAGACCGTTCGCTTTCTTCCACCGCGTGTTGGTAAAGTGTCTGCCAAGATGTAAGGATAGAAAGAAGGTATGGTGGACCAAACCGAAGTAGACGGCCATGGAGAATGACAAAATGGCGGACGGGTACATACTAAAAAAGTATCAAAGGGAGATGAAAATCGCAAAATATTAACCAGTGATGTACGCATAGATGCCAGTATTTTTGCTGTAATAGGCCACAGCCACAGCTAAAAGCATGATGAATAGCAAAGTAAGAGAACATCAACGATAGGGATGGGTCAGCAAAATATTCAATTTCAATGTCGAAATGTAGTGATGGACACTGTGTGCCACAACGGTGGATGGAGAATGAGAGGAGAGCGGTTAAAGATGTTGCCGTAAATATAGTTAAGATATATTCAGTCGCAGAAAAATTGAAATACGTAGCGAGACGGAAAACGTCTCTCGGGGCAAATCCTGTCCTCTGTAAAAATCGTAACTTGCATGTCCATGGAGGATTAGAGGCGTTTTATTGCAGTTGGCTTGTAAATCACGACAGTCCGCCACTACCCCCCATGGTTCGGTGGCAGAGGCTGTCGGCTGGCGGTTTCAGTCATTAGATGCGGCAGGCATCGTAGTCCGTCTAAGTACTACCACTGATTAGTTGAGATTCGGGTGCGGTAAGGTGAGTTACTCATCGCTCATTGAGCCGAATCAAACGATGAGTTCTATCGGACAAGAAACGAAAGCAAACAAGCAAAGCGTCATGCAGGTTCGCTGGTTGGCCGTTGCTGAATACACCGATCGTCCTTGAAGGGTCAATGTTTCCCCACAATGGGCCCAACCGTCTTGATCCTTCTAAAGTATCTCCTAATTGGCATATGTCTCAGGTGTCGCCGTCTGCGGCCTACAAATAGGTTGGACTCTACAGGCAATGGGTAACTAGGACACTTACACTATGACTTATCTGGATGGACAAAAAGCATGTATAGAGGTGAGGTTTGGTGAATAGAGGTTCATAATCAGCTGTTTGTGACGGCACGTCGTCTACACAAGGTGTAGGCACCTTGACCCTGAATGCTTGCTTAGGGCATTAAGGTTTTCAAGTAAATCCCCCTTCTCTCCCGCTCTTTATTCTTTGTGCTATAAGTCATCATGGTTGTATGGCAACGAAGCATCAGTGCAAATGGCTGATGTACTGTTGTTGTTGCCGTCGCTGCTGTTGTTGTTGTTGGTGGTGGTGGTGTTCAGGGTTCAATCTGGTGATTTTAGTCACACCAACGGTTTCCTTTATCCTATTCAAGCAGCAAATAGAGGGCGTTGTGTGCCGCGCCCTTTCTTACCTTAGTTCCTCGATATCCGAGATAAGTCAGTATGATACACCAGTGGCGTGTAGCGTTGGTAGCAGCTTGTATCACCGCTCATCATCATGATCATAAACAGCAGAACATCAGCCATGTGAACTCATCTTAGACAATCTTCCGGGTAGTGACCACAACATGCGACGCCTTTCCATCCACTTGGAAATGAAAACCAAACTCGACTCATCTACCCAGCATACTATACGAAGGATTGACTGGAAGCATTTCGGAAAGCAGATCCCGTCCTCTCACTGGGATGGTGTCCGGGAGGAAGTAAGAATTGCTTTGAAAATTCACAATTTTAGCGATTAATCGATTATTAGCGATTATCGCATCGAGTTCGAACGTTCCGGAATGTTCTACTTATGCACGTGATTAAAAACCATCTGACACCTCGGCAAAAGATATGGGGAACCACTAACCTTGGTAGCTGCCCTTCCAATTCTAGAAGTCGAAGGTCAGTAGAGACCTATAAATACAGCCAAGGTCCGCAGTAGTTGTACGGTGTTCGTTGGCGGCGATTAATACGTTACTTTGTCAAGGTCATTGGCGCTTTGCTTTTTCCTTCGGTTGGGCTAGAAGTTTTGTGGAGCAGTAAATTGTTATTTTTGGAATTGCGTCTAGTGAGAAGATTATAACAAATGGCGACGGAGAAATTTGGAAATATGATGAATTTTTCTGCTGAACAATTTCAAAAGCTGGTTTTTCAACAGCAAGCTCAAATGGAGGCACAAATGAAAATGATTGAAAATCTGACACAATGCTTGAGTTTGCAGACAACAGGGGCAACGGCGCGGGACACGCAGGCGAGTTCTGTTGATCTTCTCACGAACGCCATCACTGAACTCAATTATGATGCGGATGCTGGATGCACCTTCGAAGCGTGCTTCAAGCGCTGGGAAGACATGTTCCAGACGGACTTCATTCGTCAGGACGACTCCTGGAAGGTGATCAGAATAAGTGAACATGCAAGGTTCATAGACCAAATTTTGCCCAAACAACCGAAGGATCTGACTTTTGATGAAGTAGTGTCGCAGCTGAAGGAAATATTTGGTGAGTCGGTATCCTTGTTTAGTATTCGCTATCAATGCCTGAAAATTGTCAAACAGGAATCTGACGACTTTGGGGCCTTAGTAGACATGATGAACCGTGAGCGTGAACGTTTCAAACTACGCTCATTAACGGACGATCAGTTTAAGTGTCTCATTTTCGTCAGCGCTCTACAATCGCCCAGTGATGCTGAGATCCGCACGCGGCTTTTAGCTAAGCTGGAGCAGGATCCTGATCTGACACTGAAGGCCCTCGTAAGCAAATACAAACGGCTGCTCACTTTAAAACACGACACTGCTATGGTCGAACGCAATGATCTCGCACCACCAGATACCGTGCAACTCGTGAAAAAGGACAGGACCACCAACGCAAGCAAACCCTTCAAGAGGCCTACGAAAATACCGCCCACAGCATGCTGGTCATGCGGCGAATGGCATCTCGCGCGCTTTTGTCCCTTCAAACATCACATTTGTCAAACGTGCCATAAGCGTGGGCATAAACGAGAATGCTGCAGTCAGGTCCGGTAGAAGAATGTGCAGAAGTCTTATCGAAAGGGGAATTCTAGAAAGGATGGCGCCGAGTCTCTGTCCATAGTTGCCGCATTCCAAAGTGAGTGTAGACAGAGACGACGCTTTACCAGTGTGTTGATTAATGGCATCCCACCGAAACTGCAATTTGACACGGTCTTGGACATCACAATTATTTCCAGGAGCACATGGAATCACATAGAGGTCGAAGATGGTTGAGTCCCAGAAAGTTGCACATAATGCACCCGGCAGTGTGTTAAACCTAGTGGGCGAACTCAATTGCAAGATTGCTTTCCAAGGTGTGGAAAAGTCGGGAATATGCTACATTTCAGACCGGCCGAATTTGAATCTCCTTGGCCTCGAGTGGAATGAAAAGTTGAATCTCCTCGAGGTTCCGTTGAATCAGATCTGCAACCGAGTTCGAGCAAGTCTAGACCCATCATCAAAGTCTGTCGGAGACATGACAAGTACTCTGAAGCGAAAATTTGCTTCTGCCTTTCAGGATGGCTTGGGCTATTGTACGAAATTCAAGGCAACACTGAAGTTGCGACCAGGTGCTAAACCAGTGTTCAAGGCTAAAAGACCGGTACCATACGCAGCCATGTCAACCGTTGAGCAAGAAATCGATCGATTGGAACGTGCCAGAGTCATCAAGGCCGTTACTACTTATCAAGGGCCGCACCTATTGTCGCAGTGAAGAAAGCAAATGGCAAGGTACGCGTCTGCGCTGACTTCTCAACTGGCCTCAACGCCGCGCAGGATGACCATCAGTATCCCTTACCTGTACCGGAGGATATCTTTGCAAAGCTGAATGGTGGTAAGTACTTTGCTAAGCTTGACCTATCCGATGCTTATCTTCAAGTAGATGTTGACGAAGTCTCGAGGGAGTTATTGACGATCAACACTCATCGTGAGTTATTCCAATACAACCGCTTGCCATTTGGTGTGAAAACGGTGCCAGCCATCTTCCAACAGTTGATGGATACCACGCTAGCGGGCGTTTCTGGAACCGCTGCATATCTGGATGATATTATAGTGATGGGTCGAACACCAGAAGAACTATTCAACCGCCTGGATGAAGTGCTTGGTTGTATACAGTCGTACGGAATAGTTTGATGGCACTTTTGTCCAAAATACTTCCAAGGTCAACGAGACCGAGATTTTGAATACTAAGTACAAATACCGCGCATTATTCACGGTCTGTTGGTTTTGGAAAAGAACTTTTAGGCCAGCTGAAACCAGTTAAGATGAAAGGTGCTGACAAAATCATTAGGTTAGCTTGAAAAGAAACACGAGGATTTTGTTTAGCAATTTGATACAGCGTCCAAGATTGCAGGCATTTTACTAGAATGACACCAATGCGCCGGTTTCACTCTTTAGTACACACTAACAAAATGCTGCTACTGGCAAGGTGCCATATCAGTTCTCCCGCAGTTGATATTGTAAATTGCTGTAATTGCACGTATCCGGGTACACAAAGCTTACCTTGACTTGACTTGACATTAGACGCTGACGCGGCCTGTAGTGTCCGAGTATAGAGCATATAGGATGTTCACATTTTTCGTGGGAACACCTTGCCGCGCAAGTAATTCGAACAGAATCGATCGATTGACTGAATCGAACGCAGACTTGTAATCGAGGAACACAGCTACTGTCGGTCTGCGGTATGTGTGGCGCTGTTCCAGCACCTGCCGCAGAGTCTATACAGCCACGTCCTGGGTGGAAACCTGCCTGCTCTTTCCTTATCTCAGATCCCCGTTCCGCAGTGAGGCGACGAACAAGAACTGAGGCCAGTAATTTTGTCACAACTGACGGTAGGCTAATACCCCTGTGGTTAGAACAGTCTGTTCGACTGCCCTTCTTGTATATTGCCACTATAATCGATTCGTTCCAATTAGCCGTGACACTCTTCCTTCCAGATGCGTTCGGATAGGGAGGTCAGTGTTTTGCAGAGGACCTCACCTCCGTCCTTAAATAGTGCAGGTGGGAGGGAATCCGGGCCAGCGGCACAAAAACGATTGAGGACTGTGATCACATTTCGGATCTCGGCCTCCGACGGAGGCTCTAAACTAATCGTCCATGGCTCGTCCCGCATCACCTGAGTAGGAAGAGGTCGGGCAGCA